TATTTGTTCAAAACCTAGTATTTACCAAGCAGAGTGCTAAGATATGGAAATTGGCAAAGAAAAAACAGAAAATATATTCTAATGGCTACAGAAATCGATTAAAAACCTGATTAATCACTGAACTATGTACTTCTATCAGATCTAGGAAATGAAGATGGCACTGTGGATTTTAGTAGGAAAAATTGAAAAATTCAGCTTTGAAATGACCGCAGGAATGCAATGTAGTTGTGCGGTTCTCTGTGTACAAAGGTCACCTGATAAGGAAACACATGTACTATGGTGATACGGGGTCCACTCTGATACTCATTTTTCTAATTTTACAAAGGGGTCCATTAAACGAACATGATTGATCAAAGTAAGAGACAAGGAAGAAATTCTTACTAAGTAGTCACACTAAAGGTGAATCTGGAAAAAAAAATAAAAATCAAATCTTGGAAAGCTCGATCCTATTTATGCTCCATCATTCTGGCCCCTGTCCACATACGGAGGGCTGAGAAAAATCTTTCCCCACTACCTGTAAGTCAGGCTTTTGCATGGTATTCCTATTTTTAACTATAAATAAACTTATTTCAAATTGGAAGAGTGGGATGGGACTGTGATCGATCAAATGTAACAACTTGAGTAAGAACCTCTGACCAGATTAGTATAGCTCTGAGTGTGTCTGTGGGTGACAGACGTGCGAGGCTGAAAAATGAAGGAAGACCCGCAGGGATGTGGGAGGTTTGTAGCCCGGATGGAGCAAAACCAGCTAGAAGGAAGTCCTCCCCTTTTCTTCCTCAGAGGAATTCCATTCTTCAACACTGCCCTTGGGTGCTGGTCTGCACTTCCGTCACCCTTCCAACAGCTTTAGTTCACCTGATTGTCACCAAACCGCAGTGAGCTCTGGGCCTTTAACCTTTGACTGGAGCCTCAGGCTGTCCAGTGTGCAGACAGCGATTCTGCATTCTCACCCCTCTATTCTACAGCCCATTGCAAGCCCGCCAGGAAACATTTCACATAATCACACATCAGCACAGGCATCATCTAGTCGACTCATACTCTGAGGAATCAGAGATTCAGAGAAGTTAATCTTTTTCAAGGAAACATCAAAGGCTAAAACCATGAGTTTCTCTCTTGCTCCATAACATTTGCCGAAGGTCTGCCCTCACTGCTGTCTCAGGAACCCAGGCTCATGGAGGCTGAATTCCTCATTCCGGCCGGAGGGAGGCAAGGTGGTCCATGACACACTGCCTTGCAAAACTTCCATGTACAAGTAACACATGTCACTTTAATTCTTTTGGTCAAAGGAAAAGGGATAGAATTAGACCCTGTCGTGTACAAAAGCACAAAAACATAACTGCAGTTATTTCTGAAAATCCTAATCGCTACTAAATCAGGTAAGGAAGGAACTCAGATTGCTTCTATCCATATTCAAATGAGTTAAAAGAATTCTCTCCAAAATCAACTAGAAATTATTGTTATATAGTAACTAACATATCTTCACTGTATTCATGTAAAATGTCTCTCTTCTTTCTGGTATACAAAAGTATGATTATGAGAACAAAATATCATTTAGTAATATATGAAGATTTTAAGGCTAGGCAGACTACAAATCATGGACAATTTTCACTACTATAGAGGAATTCTGAAGGGATATTTTTAAAGAGTATTTTGAAAAGGAGATATGGGAAGAAAGCCTAAGTGGTATTTTTCTTCCGTAATTACATACAATGCAATGAAGGGTTCTGTCATTTTGCGAAATCTGAATCCACATTCTGCTTATAGTGTGTACAACACAGGGCAGCAACGCCGTCATTCACACACCTAATAGCCACTTTCTCCTTCCTTTCCAGCAGAATCTCAATTTCACTGTGTCAACTCTTCCCAAAGAGGACTTGGGGGGAAACCCTAATTGGCCATGTCTAATTATCGTCATGATTTCTGTGGAGGACATATTCACACCCTCTTTCTATATAGAGATGGCCATGACACTCCTGGCCAATTTAAAAATAATTTGATATAGCAGCACAGTTCATAATAGCTAAAACTTGGAAACAGCCCATTTGCCCATCAGTTGGAAACTGGATAAAGAAGTGGTTTTTCTATAAAATGGAATACTACTCAGCCATGGATTCCACCTCACTCCACAAAGAATGGTTGCTATCAAGAAATTACACAATAACAAGTGTTGGCGGGGTTGTGGGGAGAAAGGAACCCTTCTCCATTGTTGGTGGGAGTGCAGATTGGTGCAACCACTATGGAAATTACTATGGCGATACCTCAAAGAGCTGGGACTAGAGGTTCCATTTGACCCAGCTATCCCTCTGCTGGGTATCTTTCCAAAAGAATTAAAGGAATCATATCACAGTGATATATGCACACCCATGTTTACAGCGGCAGTTTGTAATAGCTAAAACTTGGAAACAGCCCATTTGCCCATCAGTTGGAAACTGGATAAAGATGTGGTTTTTCTATAAAAGGGAATATTACTCAGGCACAAAGAATGAGAAATTAGAGTCATTCATAGGAAAATGGATACATATTGAGGATATACGCCTAAGTGAAATAAATAAGTCACACGTGTAAATACCAAATAGTTTCTCTGGTGTGAAAAACTAAGAGTACACAAGATCCTGATGGGCTAATTAATAGTGTGAAATAGGAAGAAAAGGGCTAAAGGTGTAGAGAAAGTGGGAAGGGTAGGGGAAAGTGAATAAGGGAAAAGAAAAATATGAGAAAAGGAAAAAAATGGAAACAAAGCATTTGTAGATGGGGAAGGGAGGAATGGGTGAAGGGAGGGCAGTGACAAGGGGAAAAAATGAGACCCAAGACTTGTCATGTGAAGGTACAGGATCCCAATAATGACTGTAACTGTATTGTATACCTAGATTGTACTAATAAACTGAATAAGAACAAAAAATTAGAAGTTAGTAATTCAAAGGAAAATGGATACATTTTGAGGATATACTCCTAAGTGAAATAAATAAATCACACATGTGTAAATACCGAGTAGTTTCTCTGGTGTGAAAAACTACAATAGTATTCCAGATCTTCATGGGACAATTAACAATGTAAAATAGAAGTAAAAGGGCTAAAGGTGTATGGAAAGTGGGAAGGGTAGGGGAAGCAGAATAAGGGAAAAGAAAAAAAAATGTGAGAAAATGAAAAAATAGAATTAAAGTGTTTGTAAATGGGGAGGGGAGGAGGGGGTGAAAGGAGGGACCAGGGGAAAAAATGAGAACCAAGACCTGTCATGTAAAGGTACAAGATCGCAGTAATGACTGTAACTGTACTGTACACCTAGAATGTACCAATAAACTCAATAAAAAAAATAATTTGAGACAGTAACTGTCGTTGTTGACCATGATCAAATCTGTACAGCCATCTTAAGACAATGAAAAAAATGTTCAGGGGTTGAGCAAGGTAAAAGGCCCTTGAATTCCCGAAGTGTAGCTCTTCATAGGATAAACTACTTTCAAACAGTGCTTCTCAAAATACTGGTCTAAGGTAAGAGGTACTATTAGAATGTAAATCAAGGCATTTTTCTTTCATCAAGAAGTCTGTGAAAAACAAAATCACATTTCATTTCATACACTGAGCCAATCACCAGGGCAATGTTTTTTACTCACAGAACACTGAAGCACAGACAGCAGGAGGACTTGCTCTTTTGTAGAACATGTTACCTTTCCTGGTTTCAATAAACCCTCCCACAAATGTTCACTGACCACTCTGTGAAGTATGGACAAAAACAGGATTAAGTAAAACCCTCTAGTCTCAGAAAGATGACAGCTGGTATGGGAGATAGAAAATTAGTTATTTCTGTAGATTAATTAAAGGTGAGGGAAACTTTGATGTAACACAATAGAATGAGAAATCAGCAGGGCAAGCTTTACAGAAGGCCCGGCACCTTGGCTAAGTGACACAGAGGGTGTACATGAAACTGCAGGTCATTAACTGAGGGCACTAGGGCCTCAGGGTGCAGGTGAAGTACATCACGTGAACAGATGCGCAGCTCAGCAGCACCCCTGCATCATGAGATCTGGGGGTCCTGATGTCTGCTGGGCACAGGCAAGTAGTGAGAATTAGCAGTCTGTTAACTACTGCACTACAGCTTTTGGATCAACCGATTTACCCAACTGTCCACTTTATTCCCTCCAGCTCCCTTTTCTAAGTTCCATACCCAGAAACTAGACCCTAAATTTCAACATTCTCATTTTGCTCTTCACAACTACGCTGAAGTTATTGTCCTACTTCGGAAATTCAAGGAAAGTCAGGTAATCACCATGAATGGCTACATTTTCAAATGTGGGTTTAAAAACAGTGTAGCACCCTCTTACTAAAACATCTAGAGGACAGACGGCCAGTCCGCAACAGTGAACAAGCCAGAATTAGTGTTGGTAGCTCATTGACTTCCCTGCCTACTACAAAGTCCTAGAAATGGTGTCACTTTTATGTCAAGCGAGAAGCAGCATTTCACTATATATGAATAATTCAGACAAGGTCCCTATCAGAACCATCATATTTATCATCTAACCAAGGCATATTAGCTAAAGCTCCAAAGTTGAGATCATTCTCTTACTTATATCTTATACTTAATGGTTACCTTTATATTTAATTACAATTAATGAGGGGGAAAAATTCTTATTACTTATATAGAAAAATAAATCAATCATTTCTATAAAATACAGGGGAAAACTAACAGTATATCTGTTACCTCTAAGTTAATTACAATCACCAATGTCATTGTATAACAAGTCTGACCTGAGAATAAAAAAATTAAAATCTCAAATTTTAGAATTATCAAACAAATTAAATAATATAGTTGATTAAATAATGCTGGAGAATTCCCCAAATAATAAAATAAGCATAGGGCTGGGGATTTAGCTCAGTGGTTCTCACACCTGCTTTGCAAGCGTAGGGACCCGAGTCCAATCCCTGGTACCAAATAAATAAATAAATAAATAAATTAAAGCACATGTACAGTTATCACATTCTGTATTTCAGAGAAGAAGCATTAGGCATCCATGTCATCGGTTTATTTACAAACATCTTTAGTATGCCATGTGAATTCAAGAGTTTGATCAGTTTCCAAAGATATTACACCTCTTGAGAAATTCTTCACATCTGTAAAACAAAAACACAAAATTAATGGCATTTAAAAATTCCTACTCATCTTCGATTATCATGTACTGCATTAATACCTTATTAATCAGCTTAGCACATCAGAAAGCGTTTACAGTATCATGACTATTCATACTGATTTGCTTCATCATATGTGCCATGAAAAAGAGAACAAAACACAGAAGAAAAAAACCTTTATGTCAACGGCTTGAGTAAATCATACCGCTGGTAAATTATTTTCTCAACTAGGAAAACAGCCTTTTCATGTTTAGGTTTATTTTGAAATTTATTTGAATCATCCTACAGAGCTGCTTGTAACATCATTTTGAAAAATTCTGACCACAATTGTATTAACTAAGTACTTTATTTATACAGAAGACCTGTTAACCTACTGACAGGTAAGTTTCTTGGAGCATATACTAATACATATTCCCTTAACCCAGGATTTCTCAACCTTGGAACGCTCGTACTTTGCCTCATTGTTGGGACAACTGAAAAATTAAAAACATCCCCAGCCATTGTTCAATGCCTTTCTAGTATAAAATTCTTCCCATTTGAGGACTCCTGCCTTCATTTCCCCAAGATGGCTAAGCTGATCAGAATTTGTGGTAGCATAAATTAAGGTACTAGACAAAACTAAAGTACTAGATTTTCCTTATTTTCCAAAAAGCTTCACATATTAAATCAGTATTATAAGCCTGGATTTTAAGAACTGGGAGCACAGTGATCATTTAGAAATCAAAAAGTTCATGGTGTTTAAAGAGACCTGCTCTATTTCAGTGCAAAACTACTCACCAATCAGTTTAAAAGAATTTTACCTAGTTTAAAGTGTGCGCTCTAACCAAGACTGTCTGGGTAGGAAAACTGGTCTACTATCACTACAGTAGCTATGGCATTTTGGGTAACTTATCATCTTTGTGTCTTGGGAGTTAAAATCACAGCCTTGCTTGTTGAGAAACCATGAGATTATCAATGTAAAATGGTACTCAGCCACTGGCAATTAGTGATCAAAAAAATAATTTGTTTACAGGTTTACCAACTTGTCTCTACCACTGCTGCAGCTAGACTAAATGTCAGGAAGCATGTATATGTTTGTGTGTGTGTGGTGTGTGTTTTATTGTGGAAGGTGGGGTGGATTTAGTATAAAACTAATTACCTGTGAAAAGGGATGTTAAAACATCCTTATTTCTTAAGCAGTTGGTGTCTCACTATAAGGAAAGGTGCTGCAAATCCAGATCCAAAGTACACAGACATCATAACCAGTAACCGCCACTTATTTTCCACGGAAAATGGCAAATTCTGTTGGGACAGAAAAGAGAACAACCAAAAAATGTAACTTCAAATCAGTTTTTATCAATCAAAAACGACAAGTACACAGGGAGCACCGGAAAGGATAAAGCAGGAATACTCTTAACAAAATCAGGTGCCTGTAAAACTACAAGTATCTGGCTTTCCTGAACACCATGAGATGGTCTTAAAGAGTACCAAGTGTAAAATAGGGGAGTGGTTCCCTATTTTTAAAAAGTTTTATTGTACATGTGTTCAGAACACAATGTTTGTATTTATTGTGTAGAGCTGGTGCGTACACATGGTACATCTTAATTCTTTACTCTTTTAAGTTTGTCATTTTAGAAACAAAATGCACTGTGGCACAATATTTTGAAATATTAACCGCCTAATAAATGGTAATGTGGCAATGCTGATTACTATAAAGTCTATCTTTTCCTGCTGCCTCCTTTCATTGCTAAGCCTCACCTAATCCTGAGATCTCTCCTGACTCCTCGATTCGACTTATTTTCACTTGAGGGATCGCGAGATGGGAGGAGGAGGGACAAAAAATTAATTAGGGATGTGTTATGCACGCGCATCAACTCCCCACAGTAGAGGTAATCTTGACGTACTGCAAACACCGACTAATATGAGGAGCAAAATACATCAATACCAGGCCTGATGCCCAACCTCAGCCCTCGAATCCTCCGTTCCCAATGACCTTCACTGGGCCCCGTCCTGCAGCTCGGTCTCAGGCCACAGCACCTGCAGCCGCGGAGCCCTGCGTGGGTCTCCCCGATCCTGGGGCTCGGAGCGGGCTGAGGTGCAGGGAAGAGGCCTCGGCAGCTCTAGGCGGGGTCCCCAGCTCTCCCGTCCCGCCGAGGACACCCAGCCCCTCACACGCACCTTTCCGGGGCCCTCCTCGTAGTGGCTCCGACGCACCACAGAGGTTGTGAACCTCCGGATGCTCTGGCCCAACATGGTGCTGCTGCAAGCTCTGCGAAAGACTCAGAGAGCGGGAGAAACGGCCGCCAAACCCTAAACCTTCGCGTTCTCTTGACCTTCTTTCCCCAGACGAAGAGACCGGAAAGGAAGATGGGAGATGGGACGCAACTTCCGGTAAATGACGAACTGGCGAGCTGCAAGGATTATGGGAATTGTAGTGCAAAACTTGGCCCGGCCTCGTCAGCCCCGGAAACTTGTGGGAAATGTAGTCCGACGCTGGGCTGTGGGAGAATCAGAATCTGGTGGTTTCTTAACAAAAATCATTCAGTCAGACCTGGATTCTTTTCTTGAGTCTGTTTCCACAGACGATTTTGTTTAATTAAATGAAGCAACTTCACTCCTAGTATTCTAGTTTATGGAACAGGAAAATAAACTTAGCAGTTCTTTGGTAATATTGAGAGACACATGATATGATTTTTTTTCAGAGAATAATGGTATATTGCACACAAGGTAACAGTGACTTAAATGGCTGAATTTCTCATCAGAATCAGTGGAGACGAGAAAATATATAAATTGGTAAAAGAAAGTAACTGTCAATCCTGAATTCTATACCCAGTGAAAATATTCCATCATGAAATGAAATAAATACATTTGCATAGAATGAACTGGTCACCAGTATATATGCTTAATAGTATGAAAGAGAAAAGTGGATAATCAGGTATAAATAGAAACAGAAGTGGTGAATATCTGGATACATATAATACACTACTAGTTCATTCTCCTAGGCCCCTAAAACTATTGTGGTCCAGTTTTGTTCTTTTTGCTTAAATTTGCTTCATTTTCTGAGGCCTTTTGTGGTTCCTTAGGAATTGAATTTTTATTTGAATCAGTCCACATTTGCGATACACAATGGTTGTATCTACCGCGGGTAATTGCTCCACGTACATGACGCATCTGATTCATTTTATGTGTCCTGCGTTCTTCCCTCCCTCTTCTCCATCTCAAGACACACTATGATTTTATTCAAGGAAATAAAGCAGAAAAACAAGTAACCAAACAATATACAGCACAGTGGTTGTCAGAGAGAAAACTGAGTTGAAGTTCTGTGAGGATGGATTCCCGAAGAAACGAGGAATCGGATATAACATCAGGGACGGGGAGCAGACAATCCAAGTCCAGTCGGAGTATAGCTTATCTGGACAGTGGAAGCAAAAGGCGATCTCTGACGCCTGGATCTAACCAAGACTAGGAACTGATGTGTTTCTGCTGAATGCACACAGTTTCATGGAGCATCAGCCTCAGACGATGCCGCTTAGAGCTAGGTGGATCAAGAAGAGAGGTCACTGTAAAATCACATTTGAATATAGGTAGAAGCACGAGTATTATCTAAGTTACTATTAAAGTGAAATAAGTTTGGTCTAAGCCTGTCTCTGCATTTGGTGATAAAGTATGGCTGAAAGCAGTCCGTACGGTGTATAGGAACTACACCCTAGCTTGATATGTAAGCAAACTGTAACCAAGCAACTAGGACTTAGCCACTAACAGCAGTGAAGCTTCAAAGAATCAATCACAGGCTGCAAACTGATCAGACCAGGAATACAGGAAACAAACGCTGATGAGAGCCGGTTGGTTGCTACTGTCTGTCATTTCTTTTTCTCTGGCTAAAAATAGAACCTACGCATGAGATGGTATAGGGCATTCAGAATGGTCTTTAGTCTGGAATGCTGCTAGTTTTTCTCTTCTCTTCTCTTCTCTTCTCTTCTCTTCTCTTCTCTTTCTTTCTGTCTCCTCTCCCCTTTCTTTCTTTCTTTTTTTTCTTTTTTTTTTTTGAGACAGGGTCTCACTATGTAGTTGAGACTGACCTGGAACTCACTCTGTAGCCCAGGCTTGTCTCGAACTTTCAGTGATTCTCCTGCCTCAGCCTCCCGAAT